CTGTTTGGTGAAGAGACTGTCCTCACTCCAGGGATTGGTTTTAGCTCCTTTGTCAAACATAAGTTGGTTGTAGATGTGTGGATTGACTTCTGGGTTTCTTTTCTGTTCCATTGGTCTGCACATCTGTTTTTGTGCCAGTACCAGGCTGATTTGATGATCACTGCCCTGTAGGAGGTCTGAAATCTGGTATTGTGAAGCCTCCGGCTGTTTTAGCTGCACAGGGGCTCCTGTGTTTCCACGTGAATTCTAGCATCTTTACTCCTTGGTTTATGATCACAGAGCACACGGCTGGAACAGCGTGGGGAAGGGAGTGGAGTGAGGCTGGAGGGGCGGAGCTGCCGGCCTCTCAGGCCCCACCCTCAAGGGGTCTTCCCGGGGGTTCCCTGCGTCACTGACCCAGTGGTTGGCCCTCGGTGATGGCTCCGGCCTGGGTCTGGGTGCAGCTCCTCTCTGCCCACCCAGCCCACCACAGTCATCTTTGTCCACAGACCCAAGCCAGAGATGGGCTCCATGGCCCGTCCCCCGCAGCTGGCTGGCGCTGTGCTGGCCGGAGGGCCGCCTCCTCCCACTCAGGGCCCTGGCTCTTCAGTGCAGGTTTCAGTTTGCTCCCCAGTCGGGATCACCCCCTACTGACAGGAGACGGGCGCCCCTCGGCCGTCCCCAGCTCTGCCCAGGGCCCTTCTCACCAATCCCTGCACCCCTCCCTCGGGAAGCCCACGGGGGCCCCAGGGACACCGGCACAAACAAGACAGCCCGGGCCCTGCCCCTTCTCTGCTCCTGGGTTCTGAGTTGTTCTGCAATACTGATTCACTCCTTTGGTGGTGCCACTGGGTTCTCACCCACGCTCGTGCTGGGCTGTGCTGGGGCTGGGGGCTCAGACATGGAGACGCTCCCCCCCGCGGCAGTCCCTGCTTTCACGCTTGGCCCCTCAGCCTTCATGAGTGCCCAGGAGCACAGACACACCCAGGGGTCACTCGGAGCCCAGGCTGACCGCAGCACTCACCTGGCCAGGCGCTGCCTCGCACACACTGGAGTCTTCCAGCTCTGGAAGCAGAGCCTGGTGGAAGGAGGGTGAGCCGGCATCCATGACCGGCCTGGCTGGGTGCCCTGCCCTCATAGGGGCCAGTCAAGCAGGGCCAGAGGCAGACCACCCCTGGGGGACGCAGGGGACAGCTCAGGCTGGGTGGGGGACACCACGGAGAGATGCTGTGAGTCTGAGTCAGCCCCTGGCCAAGGCTGGGGTCCAGCTGTTACACAGCCGCTTGTCCACCCCAGCCGACCCCCACACCAACCAAGCCTCCCTCCCAGGGTCCAGTTCCAGCCCCTACCTGCAGTGCCCCTTGTCACCACAAGGTGGCACTGTTGGCACTCCTGCTGCCCAGGCTGTGGGCTGGAATGGGGCCCCAGCCCCGCCCACCCCTTCTCCCAAAGGGATCTGAAATGGAGGCTCTGCTGGACCCAGCCAGGTCCCCCAGGGTCTCCCCTCTTGGGATCCAGGCGTGGGGGAGCCCCACCTTCCTGCAACCCAGGAGTTAGAGACCACGGTGCAGGCGCCTGCTGGCCCTGCCCTGAGCTGATCGAGGGGTTGTGGCCCTGGCCACCCGTGGAGGTGGGGACATGGCTCTCCCACGTGGTTTTTGATGTCCCACCTCCCCTGCAGGTTATCAAAGAGGCACGCAGGGGCTGCATGGGAGGGGGGCGGTTCTCGCCTTGAGGGATCCCTTCCCCCCACTGCTCTGCAGTCCCTAGCCAGGGTCTCTCGGGAGCCAGGGACAGCGGCCCAGCTGCCCCAGGGCAGGGAGTAGCCAGTGGGGCCCTTGTCCCCCCACAGCACCTGCTGGCCCGACACTGGGTCCAGCGCTCCCCTGCATGCCTCCGTGCGTACCTGGGCCGACCAGGCCCTGCAGAGGAGCCAGCCCAGCTCAGCAGCTGTGTCCACCCAGCAAGGGGACTGGAGCTGAGGCTCCCGAGGGCCAGGAGGGGCTGTGCCCCTTGGGCTCAGGGCTCCGGTGGCCCCTCTCATGGGTGACTTTGTGGGGGGCGTGGTGTCGGGGTTCCTCCCCAGCGCTCCCGGGGCACCCTGGGTCACAGGAGCAGCTGGTGTGGTCACCACCTTGGTGCCCTGGGTGGGGAGAAGCAGTGGCCAGCAGGAGGCCGAGAGCAGGCCAGCAGTCCCTGTGCCCCTCCACGGGGGAGGTCCTCTTGCATGGAGTTTGGGTCGGAGGAGCGGGTGCTGCCCGCACCCTCCCCACCCGCATAGCTGGAGTCTGCCCTCCACGGTCACCGGGGCTGGCACTGTCCCCCCACACAGCAGCGGCCACACAGGGACTCCAGCTGCCCTGGGCTGGACACAGGAGGAAGGGACACAGCCAGGCTCCACTGTGAGTCTGGGCTCTTTGGGGAGATCGGTGCCCAGCTCCAGGGTCCTCTCTGCTGTCCAGTCACAGACCAAGGGGCCGGGGACGGGAAGCAGAGGCGGAGGGACCCTCCCTCCAGCAGAGGAGGGACCCAGCCTGGCCTGTGCTCAGGTGGCCTCTCAGGACTCGGGGCCTGGGGGGGGGGGGTTGCACACAGGAATGGGGGAGGGGAGCAAGGGCAGGACCCTGGGGGCCAGACGCCACCTGGTGCCGGAGGAAGCTGGGTGCGAAGGCTGGAGGCCAGGCGGGCCCCTCCTCTCTGCTCTGCTCCCCCTCCCTGACCTCCGGGTGCTGCCGTGGGGGTGGCAGGAGGCGGCAGGGGATGGGGTGTCCCCCACAGGAAGCCCCTGGCCCCTCCCCTTCTGGCTGCAGCTGGGCCGAGGCCCATCCCCCCACCCCGGGCATGCGGCCGCAGCTGGAGCCCATTACACCCCAGCGCCGCTGGGACGGCCCCGCTAAGCAGTGACCCCCGTGCAGTCAGGAATGAGTCAGGCTGACGCTGGCCGCTGCCTTCCCGTTAGCCGTTAGCCAGTGCCCAGGGGAGCGGGGGCGGGGCCAGCCTGGCCCAGGGCCTGCCATGTTCTTGTCACCGCCACCCCACCCCCGGGCCCTGTCTCTCGTGCACTCAGGCAGGAAGCTATGGGGCCTCTGCTCCCAAGGACACCCCCACCCCCACCAGAGCTGGACTCCCCGGGCTTCGGGGGTGGGTGCTGCCGTGGGGGTCCCCACAGAGCCTGGGCCTCAGGGTGACCCTGGGCAGCTGGTCACTGGCCCAGCACCCATGGGAGAGGCCAGGTTGGGCTCTAGAGGAGGGGCACCCCAGAACCCCCCACCCACCAGGCCTGCCTGAGGGACAGAGCCAGGGTGTCCAGACCTGGAGGAGTCTCGGGGAGGGCTGGAGAGGAAGGCAGGAGGCCATGGGCACCCATCCACGGGGGTCCTGGGGGCACACGCTATGGCTGAGGGGCCCCGGCCAGGAGCCCCAGCCACGCCTGGGAGCCAGAGGAGGGGCTGGGGGGGGGAGCAGAGGCTCTGGTTGGGACCGGCACGGCTGCCCGGGCCCCCAGCAGCTAGCGTGCATGCTTGACAGGCAGGCGGCGGCCTGGGCTGTGGGGCCGGCGTCTGTGCATCTCCTGCTGGTCTGGCCACCCAGCGCGAGGGCCCCTCCCCAGGCCTGGCCCCTCCCTGGAAAAATGCCTCTCGGAGCCTTGGACCCGGAGTTGCCTGCCCACTCAGAGCCAGGAAGGGTGGGGGGCTCTGCTCTGCCCCGCCCCGCCCACACACCCCCTCCGTGGGTGGACAGATGAAGGATTGAGCCTTCCTCTCCTACCTGCGTCAGCTCCTCCCCCAGACCCCACTTTGCAAATTAGCTGTGAGACACCTGCCCCAGGTGGGCAGGGGCTGGACTTCCCCACGGCACCTGCACGCCTCCCAGCGTTCCCAGGGCCGGCTGGAGAGGGGACAGCGACACAGGTGCACCAGGGGCAACGGCCAGCCCTGTGCCAGCCGCTCCGGGACCCTGTGCTGCCTGGCGGGTGTCAGGCAGCCATCTCTGGGGTGTTTCAGAGACTGTGGGACACCGTCCTGAGCCCCGTGGCCAGCAGAGCGGACCGGGCACTGACCGTGCGTGGGGCTGGCCCGCAGGCCTCGCTCACCTCCCTGCCTGCCCGCATCCGTGAGATCGTGGCCGGCAGCCTGGGCGAGGAGCCCCCTCAAGGTAAGGCGGCCGGGGGCATGGGGGCGGCAGAACAGCATGCTGAAGCCCCTCCCCCAGGCCCTCCTGGCCGCTGTCTGCCTAGCACAGCCAGCCCACTTGAGCCCCTGCCCCCAGGCACCCGCCCTGGCCGCCAGTGCCCACCACAGCCCTGGGCACCGCCCTGGCCGCCAGTGTTCATCACAACCATGGGGTACCCCCGTGTCCAGCAGGGCCAGCACCACACCCCGGGCACCCCCTGCCCCCCCGTGTCCAGCAGGGCCAGCACCACACCCCCGGGTACCCCCCTGCCCCCCAGTGTCCAGCAGGGCCAGCACCACACCCCCGGGCACCCCCAGCCCCCCAGTGTCCAGCAGGGCCAGCACAGCTCCTGTGGGACCGGCTTACGTCAGCCAGTGGTGCTTTGAGAACCCTAAGGCCGGCACTGGGGGAGCACAGCCCGCTCCCTGCTTTGCTGGGCCCTTGCACTCCACTGCCCACCTGAGGCCGTACTGCTGTGCTCGTGCCCCCCGGGTGTGGGCCCCAGGTGACCAGTGCCCGGTCAGCCGCTCTCGCTGCTCCCGGCACCAGGGACACCCCAGCACCCACACCCTCTGCTCTACTTGGGTGGAGATCTGGGCCTGCGTTGAAGTTGACAATAGCTGAGTGCTCCTGCAGAGAGGAGAGCCCACCCCCACCTCAGAGCCCCACCCACCCACCTCAGAGCCCCGCCCACTCCACCTCAGAGCCCCACCCACTCCCACCTCAGAGCCCCACCCACTCCACCTCAGAGCCCTGCCCACCCACCTCAGAGCCCTGCCCACTCCACCTCAGAGCCCCGCCCACTCCCCCACCTCAGAGCCCCGCCCACCCCCCTTCAGAGCCCCGCCCACTCCCACCGCAGAGCCCCGCCCTCCCTCTCAGCAGGCCTGGCTGTCTGTTGGGCCATGGGTGGACGCAGGGCCGGCTCTGGCCGCCCGGCTGACCTGGGTTTGCGCCTGCAGGGCCGCGGGAGCCGCCAGCGGCCTGGGCCGGCGCCCGGGAGGAGAGGGAGCTCCTGCAGGGGGAGCTGGTGCGGCTGGAGCAGCTGCTGGCCCAGGCAGGCGCGGAGCGGGAGGAGCTGGCCAGCAGGTGCAGCGCGGTCAGCGAGCTTGTGAGTGTGTGCGGGGTCACAGCCAGGCCCTCGGGAAAGACAGAGTCCGCCACGACACCACAGGCAGGGCGTCGGCTGGCGCGCCCACATGCCCCACCAGGCCACGGCTGAGCTGTGCCCCCCCGCCCCCTCCCAGCCCCCCCCGGGGCCTCCCCTGCCCCTCACTTCCCAGGCTGCGGATCAAGGTCTATCCTGGGGCAGCCATCGGGGGCTGGGCTGCAGGCCCCCACCCCCGGGCAGCACAAGCAGGCACTCCAGGTGTGGGGGCCACATTCACCCCACTCTCACCTCCCTGCCCCGGGCTTCGCCGTGTGGCTGTGCCGAGCCTGAGGGCCCCTGCCTCCCGCTGGGCCAGGGCTGCCAGCCCCTCGGTGCCGCCCCCGTGCACAGGGTCCTGAGCCTCCCAGCCCTGCCCTCAGCCCCTGCTGCAGGGCCCAGGGGAGCCCCCTGTCCACCCAGGGTGGGCTTTGTGCCCGGCGGCTGGGGCGTGGTGGGACCCGGCAGGCTTCCCGCCCAGATGCAGGCACGGCTGCGCAGGTCGGAGCTGGAGCACAGCGCAGACCTGGAGGAGGCCCTGGGCCGCCTGGAGGCCGCCGAGCAGAGGTGAGCCGGCCAACCCGGGCTCTGACCCGCTGAGCCCTGGCTGTTGGCCGCTCCTCCCAAGGTGTCTCGGTTAGCTTTGCCGGTGGGGCCAGGGAAGGGCCTGGGGCTGCCAGCCCACCTGCTGCAGGACCCCATTCCCCATCTCAGGGCCAGGCACGCGGCCTCCCAGGCTGCCCCTGGCCTGGGCGACTGTCGCACACTCAGAGACCACCCAGCCCCCACGCCCAGGCCCCCGGCGTCCAGCGCCTGCCCAGCAACAACCCAGCCTCTGACACAGAGAAGGGAAGAGCCTCGGGCAGTGGGGGGGGGGGGGGGGGGCTCGAGTCCCCAGACGCCGGGAGGAACACGTCCCATGGTGGGCCCATCCCCCCGGCCCTTCAGGCCCCTCCGCGGGGTCCTTGCTTTCCTGGAGGGTTGAGGCCGGTCTGGGGTTGGGGGTGCAGAGCCAGGAGGACGAGGGGGGGGTGGAGGCTCAGGAATGGGGGGGGCCCAGGAGAGACGTGCTGTCTCTGGCACCCAGTCTGGGGCCCTCTGTGGGGCCCGGGGGTCCGTCCGTCTGAGGGTCTCGGAGGAGAGGCTCAACCCCACCCCCACCCGGCTTCCATCCCTGCAGGAGTGCCGGCCTCTCCCAGGTCAACAGCCTCCTCCGGGGACAGCTGGCGCAGCTGAAGAAGGCCAACGAGGCACTGGCCCAGGAGCTGGCCGCATCCAGAGGCCTTGTGCTCCGCCTGCAGGGCGAGCTGGAGCGGAGGGAGCCGCGGCCCCGGGCCCAGAGACAGGTGCTGCCCTCCGGCCAGGCCGGGCCCCACCCTGCACCTGTGGCAGGAAGCAGGGTCAGCAAGGCCAGGCCAGCTCCAGGTCCCGCCATGCTACACGCCACCCCCCACCACGGCCCCGCCAGGCTGCAGTGAGAGGACGGAGCTGGGGCCGTGTGCTGGCTCTGGCGTGGACCAGGCTGTTGTGAGCAGGCCGGCGCCCCCATGGGCCTGACCCTTGACCCCAGGGCTGCCCACAGCACCTGCCCCGAGGCCCCTGCGGTGACCTGGCTTCTGCCCTCACGCGGATGCGTCCCGGGCAGATTTCTCCCGTTTGGGGACGATGCTGTGCTGGCCACCGCTGCTGTGCTTGGCCTCTCCGCCCTGTCTGACCATGAGCCTGCGGGCCTGCTCCTGCTGCAGACCCTCAGGAGAGGACCACCCCACCCCTGCCGGGCACCTCATGAACCATGGGGGTCCACAGCATACTGGACACGGGGCTCGAGGCCCTGGGAGGGGACTCATGGTCCACCTGCAGCCCCATGGCCAGGTCCAGCAGGACACCAGGAAGTGGGAGGCGGGTGAGTGGGCCCCAGGCTGGAGTGGACGCTGGCCTCTCGCTTTCAGACCCCCCGGATGGGCCCAGGGGAGGCCCAGGACATCATTCTCCTGTGGAGACAGACCTCGGGGCTCCAGGCACAGCTGGCCGAGCTGCGGGTGGCCACGGAGCGGTCAGTGCCGCCTCCCCTCGGGGCACCCATCTGGGACTAGAACAGCAGGCCCGCGGGCCTCGGGGTACCCAGTGGAGGGCGGGCTATAGGGAGGACAGATAGACGGAGCAAGGTGGGGCCTGCCTCTCCCGGGGTCAGCACGCCCTGGGCCGGGAGCCTGTGGCCCCTCAGGTGCTGAGCTCAGCGATGGGGCTGCCCTTGTCTCGCAGGGGCCTGGCTGAGCTGCAGACAGAGGTGGCCAGAGCTGCCCAGCGCCTGCACACGGCCTGCCTGAACCTCGATTCCAACCTGCGCCAGGCGGCCAGCAGCAAGGCTGCTGCCCTAGAGAGGCGTCTGCAGGAGCAGGTGATGGAGACGCTGCAGATGCAGGCCAGGTGGGCGCCCCTCGGGCATGGGGGGGGATGTGGTGCTGCAGGCCAGGTGGGCGCCCCTCGGGCAGGGGGGGGGATGTGGTGCTGCAGGCCAGGTGGGCGCCCCTCGGGCAGGTGGGGGGGGCTGTGGTGCTGCAGGCCAGGTGGGTGCCCCTCGGGCAGGTGGGGGGGGATGTGGTGCTGCAGGCCAGGTGGGCGCCCCTCGGGCAGCTGGGGAGATGTGGTGCTGCAGGCCAGGTGGGCGCCCCTCAGGCAGGTGGGGGGATGTGGTGCTGCAGGCCAGGTGGGCACCCCTCGGGCAGTTGGGGGGATGTGGTGCTGCAGGCCAGGTGGGCGCCCCTCGGGCAGGGGGGGATGTGGTGCTGCAGGCTAGGTGGGCGCCCCTCGGGCAGTGGGGGGATGTGGCTGCTGCAGGCCAGGTGGGCGCCCCTCGGGCAGGTGGGGGTGGGGCAGACGCAGCTCCATGAGGTCTCATTTCTGTGCTCAGCATGGGTGCTGCCTGCATGCAATGTCTGGCACCGGTGTGGGGCACACGCCGCCCAAGACCACCGTCCCTCCCATCTGTGGCTACACTGTCCTGTCTAACCACTGTCCACCTGTGACCACTGTCCTGTCTGTGACGACGTCAGGCCTGAGACCACTGTCCATCTGTAGCACTGTCCACCCGTGGCCACTGTCTTGTCTGACAACTGTCTGTCCATGGCCACTCTCCCACAGGCTGCAGAAGTGCCCCAGAGCCGGCGGCCGGCTCTCCTGGGCAGGCTGAGGGTGCCCGGGCACTGACTTCTCCAAGGAGGAGACTCTGCCAAGGCAGCAGCCGGGGTCGCTGTGGGGATTCACTGTGGATGCTAGGGACGAGGAGAGGCTGCGTCCCAGCAGCCCCCAGGGAAGGAGCCCACCCCGCCGGGGGCTCCGCGGGCCTCACGGGGTGCGTGGGAGGCTCTGCACACCTCCGGGCTACTCCAAAAAGTGGGGCCACTGCTCCCCGGGAAGGCCCCGCCCTGTTGGCCATGGGGCCAAGACCACAGACCCCCAAGACGTGGCCACAGACCCCCAAGATGTGACCACAGACCCCCAAGACGTGGCCACAGACCCCCTGGCAGGCTTCCAGGTGCCAGCCCTCCCACCTGCAGGGCCCGGAGGTATCAAACACAGCCCACTGCAGGGCCTGGGCAGTGCCTACAGCGGGTGGGGCAGGGGCCTGGAAGAACTCCTTCCCCTGGACGCACCACTGTGGACAGCGTCCCGGCTCAGGGACCACTGGGGAGCTGAGTGGGGCTGGGTGCTTCACTGCTGACACGGGCAGGGCGGGGCCTCTGGGGCCGCTCAGCCCAGCCCCCACCCTGACTTTCCCCAGGCGCCAGGAGCAGACGCTGCTGGTACAGGAGCTCAGAAAGCAGGTGGGGAAGCCCGCGGAGCTGCCTCCAAGGGGACGTCCAGATGCCGAGGGGTGGGGGGGAGATGCTCTGTGTCCCAGCCCAGCACTGGAACCCTGTGTCACAGCCCCACATTTGCACCCTGTGTCACAGCCCCACACCTGCACCCGTGTCACAGCCCAGCACCCGCACCCGTGTCACAGCCCCAGCACCCACCCTGTGTCACAACCCCACACCCGCACCTGTGTCCCAGCCCCACACCTGCACCTGTGTCACAGCCCAGCACCTGCACCTGTGTCACAGCCCAGCACCTGCACCTGTGTCACAGCCCAGCACCCACCCTGTGTCACAGCCCCACACCCGCACCTGTGTCACAGCCCAGCACCTGCACCTGTGTCACAGCCCCACACCTGCACCTGTGTCACAGCCCAGCACCTGCACCTGTGTCCCAGCCCCACACCTGCACCTGTGTCACAGCCCAGCTCCCACACCTGTGTCACAGCCCAGCACCCGCACCTGTGTCCCAGCCCCACACCTGCACCTGTGTCACAGCCCAGCACCTGCACCTGTGTCACAGCCCCAGCACCCACCCTGTGTCACCCCCACACCTGCACCTGTGTCACAGCCCCACACCTGCACCTGTGTCACAGCCCAGCACCTGCACCTGTGTCACAGCCCAGCACCCGCACCTGTGTCACAGCCCCAGCACCCACCCTGTGTCGCAGCCCCACACCTGCACCTGTGTCACAGCCCAGCACCCACACCTGTGTCATAGCCCAGCACCCGCACCTGTGTCACAGCCCAGCACCTGCCTGGCGGAGCTGTCCTCCAAGGGGATGCACAGATGCCGGGGCGGGGGGGGGGCTGGGAGTGGGGATGGGGGGGCTGGGAGTGGGGATGTGTGAGGGTAGGGGCTGGGGTGCAGTGCACGGCAGGGGTGGTGCTGGGACCGGGGGTGTGGTGGTGGTGGGGTGTGTGGCAGGGGTGGGGCTGGAAGGGGGTGCGGCGGAGGTTCAGTGCGTGGCAGGGGTGGGGCTCAGAGCGGGGGTGCGTGGTGCGGGGGTTTCCATGCCTCACTGAGCAACCTCCTGGCCAAAGGTGTCCCAGCACAACAAAGAGGCCAGCAGGCCTGGGAGGAACCCAGGGCCCTGTCTTCTGTCCTCGGGTGGCCAAGGGGGGAAAGGAGCGTCAGGAGGGGCAGGAAGGTCTCGGCCCCCCCCGTCTGCACCCCAAAGGTGGCCCAGGCGGACGATGGATGCCTGGATCTGGCCTGGAGCAGCGTGGGGCCCCCCCAGGGCCCTGCCAGGGGCCATGGCTCCCCCTCCAGAGCCACCCCACCGCAGCCCCAGGACTCCGCCCTGCAGGCTGTGCCATCGGCAGGACCAAGGGGAAGTGGGCAGCCAAGGTCCCTGGGCACGCCAGAGGGGGTGGAGCCAGAGGCCCCCACGGGGCACAGGGCCTGGCTCCAGCCCTCCCTGGCTCTCCCTGGGGGAGTTGGGGTCTGGCTGGCCGCTAGGGGGCTGACCTCGCACCCTGACCTTGAGCAGGAGCTGCCAGGGGCAGCCATGGCTGGGCTTGGGGAACAGCCGTCTGAGAGCCGGCGAGAGCTGCAGGCCTCGTGGAAGCACCTGACCGAGCAGGCACACGAGGGCCAGAACCTGCTGGCCCCAGGAAGGTGACCAGAGCCGGGCAGGGCGGGGCTAGGAACACCCGCCAGACCCAGGCATGTCCACCGAGACCCCGCGCGAGGCCCCGTCAGTGTGCCACCCCAACCCCCGGCCGTGTGCTCCCCTGGGGGCCCCCGAGGCCTTGGGGGCAGCCCCAGGTCACGGCCACCTGGTGCTCAGCCAGGGGCGCCCACGGCAGCCGGAGGAGGTCTCGGGGCTCAGGAAGGAGCTGGCGCGGGCACAGCTGCAGAGGGCGGCCCTGGAGCGCGAGTGCATGGGCCTGCGGCAGGCCCTGGACAGGGTATGTGCCCACACGCCCCCCACCCCCGCCCTGAATGCCCCGGAACCTTCTTTGGGCCACGTCTCTTCTCTTCTCGGGGGTCCCTCCACCCCATCCCGCCCAGTGCTTGCGAGCTGCCCTCAAGGAATTGGAAAGGCCCTCCCGGGGACCCCACTGGCGGTGACCTCTGCCCCCAGGCCGAGTCCAGCAACGCAGACCTGGAGCTGCTCGTCCTGCGGCTCAAGTCGGAGGGCGCGGACCAGAGGGACTCCCTGGCCAACATGGCTGCCCTCCTGGACGGGCTGGCCAGGGACAAGGGCACCCTCAACTGCCTGGTGCTCCAGGTAAGGCCTGGCCTAGCAGGGCGGAGCCCTGGTGGGGCGGGGCCTCTGGATGAGGCGGGGCCCCAGTGGGGAGGGGCCTCCTGGTGGGGCGTGGCCTGACAAGGCGGAGCCTCTGGATGGGGCGGGGCCTGGGCCTCTCTGTTAGGCGGGGGCTTGTGGGGACGGGGCCTCCAGATGATGAGGCAGGCTGGGTGGACAGGTGGGGCTCGCAGAGCCTCCGTTCCGTGGCGGCTGTGGGACTGCGTCCCACTCATGCCCCAGACCCCTCCCGCCCTGGCGAGAGCAGGTGTGTGGGAGCCCAGGCCTTCTCAGGGATATCAGCGCCCCCTGCGGGAGGCCTGGGCCACTGAGCACTGAGGTGCCTGCGGGCCAGCGCAGACCCCCCCCTGCCCACCTGTCGCAGCTGGAGCAGGAGCGGGACCGGCTGCAGGAGCAGCGGAAGGCGCTGGAGCAGGAGCGGGCAGATGCCGGGGAGCAGCTGGCGCGGGTGGAGCAGCAGCTGGCGCGTGAGCAAGAGGCGCGGAGAGCTGTGCAGCAGGCCTGCGCGCACCTGCAGGGCCAGGTGGACCAGGTGCGCACGGGCGCTTCCCTGCAGGGCCGCCTGCTTCGCTTGCAGGTGGGGCAGCGGCTCCAGTCCACGGCCCAGGGCTTTGCGCTCCTGCCCCGCCCAGCCCGGCCTGCGTCCCCGCCTCTGTAGTGTAGGTAGCAGCGATGGAGAGGAAGTGGGGCGCATGGGGTCTCCCCGTCCCGCCAGTGCGCCCATGCCGATGCCCTGACCCTGCTGGGCCAACGCAGCACCACGTAGGACAGCACAAGCTTCGCTGGACCTTTTTGGTTTTTTTCCCCAAAATTTATTTATTTATCTGAAAGGCAAGAGTTACGCAGAGAGGTCTTCCATCCCCTGGTTCACTCCCCAGATGGCTGCAACAGCCAGGCTGGGCTGGATGGAAGCCAGGAACTCGGATATGCATCCGGGTCTCCCACATGGGTGCAGGGGCCCAGGCACCTGGGCCGTCTTCCGCTGCCTTCCCAGGCCACAGCAGGGAGCTGGACTGGAAGTGGAGCAGCCGGGACCTGAACCGGCACACACGTGGGGAGCCAGGGTCTGTACCCCTACTTTGGTCTTTCCCTTGTCTGTGGAAGTGTGATTGACAGTCCCAGGGGCACTAACACCCCTGTGACCTGTGCCCCAGCCCCCTGCCTCCCCATCACCCCCAGCCTGTTCCAGCAGCCACCAGCTCTGCTTGTCCAGGGCAAGGGGACACGTGGGTCATTCCCGGCTCCGGGCTACAATGGCGGGCGCAGGCATGTGGTAAGCCCTGTGAGCCCCTGCTTGTTCTCCGCCGGGTCGCTTCCTTGCCACACACAGTTTACAACCAGGGACTCACCATCCAGCCCTTCCCTGCCATAAAAGCCTGCGGCCAGAAGCCGGCCGTGTGAGTCTGTGGATGGGCGTGGGGAGGCGGCGAGGGCGGCCCTGGCCTTCCGTCCTCACTCGAGCTGGCCTCGGGTTTGACCCCAGGTCGCGTTGCTGCCTTGATCTCACATTCCTGCTTCTCGTTACTGAGGAGTGAAACGCAGCCTCACCGGTGGATTCGTCTCATGCCGGCAGGCGAAGGGCGGAGGTCTGGTCCAATCGTGGGGTCTGGGAGGGGGCTGCAGCCCCGCCCTCCACTCCCTGGCTCACTGTGGGTCCCCTGTCCTGCCGACCACCCCACACGGCTGCAGACCGGGGCTGACCTGTCTTGCACCATCAGGCACCAGGCTGGCCCAATCTGGGGCTGTGCACATGCAGAGCTGGGAGCTCACGCAAACCCTCCTTCCCACGTAGCCGCCTCAGGTGTTGTTTTACCAGCAAACGTGCAGTGGGTTCCAGTTCTGCACCTGTTGGGACAGTCGCCGTTGCTGTCCTTATGAGACGTGGTCACTTTGGGGGCTGTTGGGCCCAGGGCCCAGTCAGGGCTTCTCTGATATGAACTCCGTGTGGTCACGGTTGAGATCCATTTCATAGTTTTTATTCCATCTGCGATGTCTTGCCAGCAATTTTTGCATGAGGGGTGCCAGTCTGTGATCTTCCTGTAAAGTCCTCGCCAGGTTTGGGACCTGACAGGTTCCACCTGTGATGACTCCTGTCCATCACGTCCTCTGTCACGACCCCCTGTCAAGTTCCCCCGTCCATCGTGTCCCCCCATCCATCATGTCTCCCTGTCCGTCGTGTCTCCCCATCTTTCGCATCTCCCCATCCATCGCGTCTCCCTGTCCATCATGTTTCCCTCTCCGTCGTGTCTCCCCGTCCATCGTGTCCCCCATCCATTGCGTCCCCCCATCCACCACGTCCCCCTGTCCGTCGTGTCTCCCCATCCACCACGTCCCCCTGTCCGTCGTGTCTCCCCGTCCATCATGTCTCCCCATCTTTCACATCTCTCCATCCATCGCGTCTCCCTGTCCATCATGTTTCCCTGTCCGTCACATCTTACTGTCTGCCGTGTCTCCCTGTCTGTCACATCTGCCCGTCCATCACTTCTCCCCATCTGTCGTGTCTCCCTGTCCCTTGCGTCTCTGCTCCTGCTGTCCTCTCTTCTCCTCATGACCCAGCCTGAATACATCCTTTTGTCTGCCTTCCAGATCCCAAGTCCTCTCTTCAGCCACATCACATTTCTTGTCACAACCTCGTCACATCTCCCTGTCCATCACATCTCTCTATCCCTCTCATCTCCCTGTCCATCGCGTCTCCCCATCTATCACGTCTCCCCGTCCATCACATCTCCCCGTCCATTGTGTCTCACCATCCACCACGTCCCCCCGTCCGTCGTGTCCCCCATCTGTCGTGTCCCCCATCTGTCATGTCTCCCCATCCGTCGCGTCTCCCTGTCCCTTGCATCTCTGCACCTGCCGTCCTCTCTTCTCCTCAAGACCCAGCCTGAATACATCCTTTTGTCTGCCTTCCAGATCCCAAGTCCTCTCTTCAGCCACGTCTGTTTTGCCACTGAAGCCATCCAGTAACTCATTGCTTTGTGATCCTATGTCCAGTTCCACCTTTAGTTCTGCCTCTTCTCGAACACATCGGTCAGCTGTTTTAAATTTCGTATCTGATGCCGGTTTCGCAGGGGTGGCCGTGTCTGCCCTGTGCTCCTGTCTCCTCTCACTCCTGGGCATGATGACAAGCAGTCACCCCCGCTTGAGAAGTGCAGGAGTGACACGAGGGTCTGCCACGCCCCTCTGCCAGGGAGGGATCCCCAGTGACCCAGCTGGGGACCGAGGGCCACCGTGAGCTCCAGGTCTCCTGAGGGGACACCTCTCTGTGACCCCTACGTACGCTCAGTGCCTTCTGCAAAGAGAACCTGACTCCTGGGCTGCTGGCCGGGCATCTGCCCTGGTGGCTTGGCCTCCAGTCTGTCCGAGGCCATGGCACTGTCAGGGCCCACCCTGGAGTCTCAGGTCCTTGGCTGGGAGAGGGGACACACACGTGGTGGCTTCACATGGATGTCCAGGCCGCTCCCTCCCCAGTGTGGCCCACACAGATGTCCATGACACATTCCGTGCAGATCCTGGTGCGGACACACTGATCTGTAGCCATCTGTGACTTCGGCCGCCAAGGCTGTGGGACACTGGGGTCCCCTCAGGCCGGCTGTTGGCTCCACTTCCACATGCCCAGTGTGATCCGATGAGAGCGGTCATAGCTCTGCGGGGTCCACGGTCACCTCCTGGCTGCTCTGCGTGGAGTCGCTTCTGCCCCCTCACTCTGCCCGCTGTCCCCTCCCGGCCTCCCCAGGTCACTTGCCAGAAGCAGGCCCTGGAGGGGCGGCTGACGCAGAGCCTGCAGGCACAGGAGGCCCAGCTGGACGCCCTGCGGCAGGCCCTGCGGGAGAAGGACGCCCTGTCTGAACAGCAGGCCCAGCTGCTGGCCGGCCAGGAGGCCCTGGAGAGGCAGGGCAAGCTCGCGGCAGAGATGGCCACGGACCTCAGGTAGCTGTGGCCTGGGGTCGGTGCGGTGGGGCTGGGGGCCTCCGGGAGCCATGGTGCGGCTCAGCAGGGGGTGGCGTGGGGGGTGAGGAAGGGGCCATCCCAGTGCCCTTGGGGTTGGGGTGCACTCAGGAGGGGGGCGCCCAGTGGGAGCGCAAGGACTCCTTCCGAAAGATGTGCCAAGTGGAGCGGAAACCTGGCCCCGAGGGAGGTTGTGGCCACCTCAAGCCCAGGTTGAAACTGGCCTCAGGCAAGGCGGGGTCCAGGCGCTCCCTGCCCTGGTGTTCAGTGACCACCCAGACTCCTCTCCCTTCTCCCCACAAGGCCCAAGCCCCCGCCATCAGCCATCTTGGGCCCCAGACGTTTCTGAACAATCCCAGGAGCCAGGGGCAGGGCTCTGACAGCCAGGCCTGGGTCTCATGCCCAGCCCTCGAGCCAGGGACAGGGTCGCCCCAGGGAGCCATGGGCTGGGTGGGGAGCAGGGTCCCTAGGATGGCAAGGGGATGGACCCCCACGCCGCCCGTGGTCTCTGCTCCTAGAGGCCCTTGGGAGCCGTCAAGCACTTTTGTAAGAAGACTTCCTGATGGCACTGCAGAATCCGGGGGGCAGGAGAGACCCCGGAGCCTCAGGGCCTCCACTTCTCCCCAGGGATGCTCTGCAGAGCTCAGGGCAGAAGCTGGAGGGAAGCTGCCCAGGGGTGGGGTCCCAGGCCCCACCCATGTGTCCTCCTGGGCCAGGCGGAGCCCCTCCCTGCAGCCCCTGCTGTCCAGGACACAGGCCCTGGCCCAAGCCCTCCTGAGCCCAGTGCCCTGTCCTGGCTGGAGCTCCACGAGGCATGCCCGCCTGAGCCCCTGGCGGCTCAGCAGTGGCAGACAGCTGGGGGTCTCCAGGAGCAACAGCACATGGCCTCCAGCAGCCACAGGGGGTGGACACACACCCCCATCTCCTAGAGGAGGCCAGGCGGGGGTCTGGGGGAGGGGGCTCCAGGTGGATGCGAGGGGAGGATTTTCCGTGCAGCGCTGAGAGGAGCGTCCGGGACAGGGCGTCCTTGTAGATGCACGGAGGTGGGGACTCATGGGGTGCTTCTGCGTGCAGAGGCAGGAATAGGGGGCTGGGCTCCATGTGGCAGGCAGGAAGTGAGGTTTCTAAGGGGATCCCAGAGGACCCTGCAGCAAACACCTGGGAGCCCTGGAAGGCGCTGACGAGGCAGCAGCAGGCGCAGAGAGGTGGGGCCGCCTGCCTGGGCGGTGGACTGGCCGGGGGGTGCGGGCGGACGGTTGTGTTTGAGGCTCGGGCGTGTTCGTGTGCGCTGCTTGCTTTCCTGCTGTACCCACATCCAGCACGGGATGGAGCAAAACACCTGTGGAGGATGCAAAGTGCAGAGTGCAGAGGTCAGAGTGCAGGGTGCAGTGAGTGCAGGGTGCAGAGGTCAGAGTGCAGTGAGTGCAGAGGTCAGAGTGCAGCCAGGGCAGCTGCTGCCTGTGAAGCCAGGGCTCCCTCTGACCCTCCCACAAATGGCCCGGCGTGAGCTGCCGTGTCTGGCTGGAGTGCTGGCTCAGCCGCGGAGCCGGTGCCCCGGCAGCTACCTCAGAGGGCAGCAGAGCAGGGGAGCAGTTTCCTTGTCCTGTGGATGCCACGGCCTCCACCTCGCTGTCCCATGTGGCGTCCCAGGGTCCAGTGGTGCCCTGGGCATGCACACACTGCTGGTGCCTGTGCGGCTGCAGAACTGATGCCGGGAGCGGAAGTGCCGGATCCGGACACGCTGCTCCGTGGGCTTCTGCCAAGCCGACGTGTGGTGGACCAAGCGTGGTGTGTGCCGGTGAGGCTCGGCAAGGCACCACGGTCCCGTGTCTCCTTGCAAACCGCAGGCGGGGCTCTCAGGCTGCCTTTCGGTGGCTGATTGGCAGCTTTGTGCCTGCAGGGACCTGGTGCCTGCAGAGCCCTGGCCTCTGTCTCATCTCCCGGCTTCCCGACAGACGCCCCTGTGCACTCCCCCTGCCATTTTGTTCCCAGCTGTTTTCTTGGGACTCGTCTGGCTCCTGACTCCCCTGAAACGCACTCTCGTGTGGTGTCCGGCTCATTTCCGGAGACACAGACTGAAACACCCGCTTGATTCCCGACTCCCTGCAGGGCCGAGAGGGACTCCCTGGAGAGCAGCCTCTTCGGGGCCCAACAGCTGGCGGCGCGGCTGCAGGCTGAGCAGGAGCAGCTGGTGGGAGAGGCCCAGCGCGCCCGGCTGCACCAGCAGACCCTGCAAGGTGCTGCCCAGGCGCCCCTCCCCCTCCCCAGTGGGGCTCAGCCCCCAGGTGTCCAGATGTGCCACCTCCAGAGGGGCCCAGAGCTCCTGCGATGGAGTGCGGGGCCACCCCTGCTTGCGCCGTGGCCGCAGGCTGGTGCGGGGCGGCCCCTGCCGCTCTCTGACCCCCCCACCCCGAGCTGGGTGCAGGCTCACTCACGGGGAGCTCCCTGTGGCCTGGCCCTCACGCACCTGTGCTTCCCAGAGGAGATGGAGCAGCTTAAAAGGGACTGGGCGCTCCAGGAGACGCGGCTGCGGTGGGACCTGGAGCAGCTGCAGAGGCAGAAGGTCAGAGAGCAACCCTGGGGGGAGGGACCCTGAGGCCCCTTACATCCTGCGTGGGTGTGGAGTGGGCGGCCAGGCCCTCCGGGAGGCCTCGTGGAGCGCAGCAGGTGCAGGGGGCGGAACAGCCGGGCCTGGGTGTCGGCTCCCGGCGTCTGAGCTGGCCCCTGGGGCAGTCACAGCCCTGTCACTCAGGGTGCACGGCGGGCACTCAGGACCGGTTCAGGAAGCACTGGACACCTGTGGAGACCCAGGGAGGCCGTTCCCAGCTCCCTGTGGGGCCGATGGGGGGAGGCAGCTGCTGTACTGGACAGCCCCTGGGACCTGCAGGCCCTGGACCCCTAAGGGCACCTGCTGCTCTCTTGCTGCCCTGACCTCAGCGCCTGTCCCTTTGCCTCGGCCCAGGAGACCCTGAGTCTGTCCCTGGCAGAGAAGGAGGTGGCCCCACGCCGGCTGCAGCAGGTGCAGAGCGCCAGGCAGGAGCAGGGCGAGGGCCACCACCAGCTGCAGCAGCAGACGCAGCAGGTGACCATGGGGCACAGCCCCTCCCCACCTCCCCACTTTCCCTGGGACCGGCCCAGGCAGGTGCGGCTGTGCACTTACAGCACCCGTGTGTCTATCCATGCAATCGACTGTCCCCCCATTCCCTCATCCGTCTGCTCACTTGGGTGTCCACACTTCCTTCCAAATACCCAGCTGTCCCCTCACGTTCATGGTCATCCCACCACATACCCAGTTGTCCCCCCACGCACCTGTCCACCCACCCACATGACTACCCATCATACACCTGTCCACTCACCCACTCACAACCCATCACACACCTGTCCACTCATCTAGAAAACTACCCATGATGCACCTGTCCACCCACCCACACAACTACCCATCACACACCTGTCCACTCACCCACTCACAACCCATCACATACCTGTCCACTCATCTAGAAAACTACCTATGATGCATCTGTCCACCTACCCACACAACTACCCATCACACACCTGTCCACTCACCCACTCACAACCCATCACATACCTCTCCATCCACACAACTACCCATCATGCACCTGTCCACCCACACAACTACCCATCATGCACCTGTCCACCCACCCACACTACTACCTATCATGCACTTGTCAACTCACCCATTTACTACCCATCACTCACCTGTCCATCCACCTCTCCACACTCACCCAGCCATCCACCACACACCTGATCATCCACCCACACACCTACCCTTCATGCACCTGTCCACCCACACAACTACCCATCATGCACCTGTCCACCCCTCCATCACTAACCCAAACACCGTCTTTTTTCACCACTGACTCCATCCCTGTCCTTGAGTCTGACCCTCCGTGCAGCTGTCAATCATCTTCTGTCCCACACACACCTGAGCACCCTGACCCCAGCCCCCACACACCTGAGCACCCCAACCCCAGCCCCCACACACCTGAGCACCCTGACCCCAGCCCCCACACACCTGAGCACCCTGCCCCAGCCCCCACACACACCTGAGCACCCTGACCCCAGCCCCCACACACACCTGAGCACCCCGACCCCAGCCCCCACACACACCTGAGCACCCTGACCCCAGCCCCCACACACACCTGAGCACCCTGACCCCAGCCCCCACACACACCTGAGCACCCTGACCCCAGCCCCCACACACACTGAGCACCCCGACCCCAGCCCCCACACACACCTGAGCACCCTGACCCCAGCCCCCACACACACCTGAGCACCCCGACCCCAGCCCCCACCACACCTGAGCACCTGACCCCAGCCCCACACACCTGAGCACCTGACCCAGCCCCCACACACACCTGAGCACCTGACCCCAGCCCCCACACACACCTGAGCACCTGACCCCAGCCCCCACACACACCTGAGCACCCTGACCCCAGCCCCCACACACACCTGAGCACCTGACCCCAGCCCCCCCACACACCTGAGCACCTGACCCCAGCCCCACACACACCTGAGCACCCTGACCCCAGCCCCCACACACACCTGAGCACCTGACCCCAGCCCCCCCACACACCTGAGCACCCTGACCCCAGCCCCCACACACACCTGAGCACCGACCCCAGCCCCACACACACCTGAGCACCCTGACCCCAGCCCCCCCACACACATGAGCACCCTGACCCCAGCCCCCACACACACCTGAAGCACCCTGACCCCAGCCCCCCCACACACCTGAGCACCCTGACCCCAGCCCCACACACACCTGAGCACCCTGACCCCAGCCCCCACACACACCTGAGCACCTGACCCCAGCCCCCACACACACCTGAGCACCCTGACCCCAGCCCCCACACACACCTGAGCACCTGACCCCAGCCCCCCCACACACCTGAGCACCTGACCCCAGCCCCCACACACCTGAGCACCTGACCCAGCCCCCACACACACCTGAGCACCCTGACCCCAGCCCCCACACACCTGAGCACCTGACCCCAGCCCCCACACACACCTGAGCACCCTGCCCCAGCCCCCACACACACCTGAGCACCTGACCCCAGCCCCCCCACACACCTGAGCACCCTGACCCCAGCCCCCACACACCTGAGCACCTGACCCCAGCCCCCACACACACCTGAGCACCTGACCCCAGCCCCTACACACACCTGAGCACCCTGACCCCAGCCCCCACACACACCTGAGCACCTGACCCCAGCCCCCCCACACACCTGAGCACCTGACCCCAGCCCCCACACACCTGAGCACCTGACCCCAGCCCCCCCACACACCTGAGCACCTGACCCCAGCCCCCACACACACCTGAGCACCCCGACCCCAGCCCCCACACACACCTGAGCACCTGACCCCAGCCCCCCCACACACCTGAGCACCTGACCCCAGCCCCCACACACCTGAGCACCCCGACCCCAGCCCCCACACACACCTGAGCACCTGACCCCAGCCCCCACACCTGAGCACCCTGACCCCAGCCCCCACACACACTGAGCACCCCAACCCCAGCCCCCACACACACCTGAGCACCTGACCCCAGCCCCCACACCTGAGCACCCTGACCCCAGCCCCCACACACACCTGAGCACCCTGACCCCAGCCCCCACACACACCTGAGCACCCCAACCCCAGCCCCCACACACACCTGAGCACCTGACCCCAGCCCCCACACCTGAGCACCCTGACCCCAGCCCCCACACACACTGAGCACCCTGACCCCAGCCCCCACACACACCTGAGCACCTGACCCCAGCCCCCACACACACCTGAGCACCCTGACCCCAGCCCCCACACACCTGAGCACCCTGCCCCAGCCCCCACACACACCTGAGCACCCTGACCCCAGCCCCCACACACCTGAGCACCCCGACCCCAGCTCACACACACCTGAGCACCTGACCCCAGCCCCCACACACACCTGAGCACCTGACCCCAGCCCCCCCACACACCTGAGCACCTGACCCCAGCCCCCACACACACCTGAGCACCTGACCCCAGCCCCCACACACACTGAGCACCTGACCCCAGCCCCCACACACACCTGAGCACCTGACCCCAGCCCCCCACACACCTGAGCACCTGACCCCAGCCCCCCCACACACCTGAGTACCCTGACCCCAGCCCCCACACACACCTGAGCACCCTCTGCCCCACGGGCTGTGAAGTGGCCTGTGAGTGTAGGTCCATCCGTCTCCCCTACCACCCTGAGGTGCTCCCTGCAGTGTGAACAGAGTGGACAGGCGCACAGGACACGGGGGGCTCTGAACTGCCCCTGCTGTGGGCCCTGAGGGAAGCAAGGGCTCGAGAGGAGGACGGGGGCGGTGAGCAGGAGAGGGGAGCAGGAGGGTGTAGGGAGGGACCAGGACAGTGGGAGGGAGCAGGCAGTGGGGGTGGGGGCAGGACAGCAGGGGCAGGAGCAGGAGGATGGGGGAGCAGGAGGGCAGGTGTGGGGGGGGCGTGTGAGGCTTTGGGCAGCCCCAGGCTCTGAGTGACTGAGGCAGCAAGAAGGAAAGCAGCGGTCACAAAGGGCAGGTGGTGGACAGGGGCCTGGGCAGGTGTGGCCTGGGCAGGGTGGGGGAGGGGGGCCTGGGCAGGTGTGACCTAGGCAGAGGGCCTGGGCAGGGTGGGGCAGGGGGCCTGGGCAGGGTGGGGGAGGGGAGCCTGGGCAGGGTGGGACAGGAGGCCTGGGCAGGATGGGACAGGAGGCCTGGGCAGGGTGGGGCAGGGGGCCTGGGCAGGTGTGGCCTGGGGCAGGGGGCCTGGGCAGGGTGGGGGAGGGGGCCTGGCAGCACTGGGGAGGGGGCCTGAGCAGAGTCCGCACCACGAGGTGGCTGTGAATTCGGTCTCAGGCCATCCCGGTTGTCGGGAGCCCCTGCTTCTCCAGTGTGGCGCCCGCAGAGCCGGTCAGAGGCGGCAGTGGCCCAGGGGTCCCTCGGCCTCTCCGCCTCCTTCCCAGGTCCCCACGGCGATGCCGCCCTGACCACGCTGTCCTGCTGTGTTTGCTGCTGAGGGCCGGTGCGGGGTCCTTGGCTGGCATCCCTGAAGTCTGGATGCTCCTGTCCAGGGCGGGGTCATAGCCTTCTCAGCCCTCGCCGTGCTGAGACAGGCAGCCCCCACGGGACCCTCAGAGTGGGGTCCCCCGGCCCCTCACCTCTGACTGGCACAGACTCAGGGGTCCCTGTGGCCCCTCAGGTTCATCTGCCCCAGAACCGCTCACTGAATTCCAGCCCTACACTTTCTATCGATTGATTGCGAAGAACACAAATCAGGGCGAGTGCCCAAGAAGTTGGGGTGAGGTCAAGGCATGTGTATACACATATGCACACACATGCACACATGCACACATACAATGCACACACATGTATGCACATACACATGTTGCATTCGTGTGGACACACAGAGGTGACAAGCATGCACACACACATATACACATGCACACACCCATGCATGTGTGTACACGTATACAGTGCACACGTGAATACACCCCTGCACACACGTGCACACATGCACACATACAATGCACACATGTATGCACATACACATGTTGCATGCGTGTGGACACATAGAGGTGACAAGCATGCACACACATATACACATGTGCACACCCATGCATGTGTGTACACGTATACAGTGCACACGTGAATACACCCCTGCACACACGTGCACACATGCACACATACAATGCACACATGTATGCACATACACATGTTGCATGCGTGTGGACACATAGAGGTGACAAGCATGCACACACACTCATATACACATGTGCACACCCATGCATGTGTGTATACATATACAGTGCACACGTGAATACACCCCTGCACCCACGTGCACACATGCACACATACAATGCACACACATGTATGCACATACACGTGTTGCATTCGTGTGGACACACAGAGGTGACAAGCATGCACACACACACACACATACACAGGCACACATCCATGCATGTGTGTACACGTATACAGTGCACACGTGAATACACCCCTGCACACACGTGCACACAGACGCACATATAAAGGTATGAAGCTAGGGTGTCCTGGCATCCCTGGGGCAGTGGTCAGGAGCGGGCGGGGTGTCCGGGAGGCCCCCGCATGCCCTGCACTCCGAGCCTCTGTGTCCTGCAGCTGCGTGGGTCTGCAGGGTGCACACGTCTCCCCATGTTGTTGGTCCCCCGCCCACGGCCTGGGGGCTGTGCTGTGACAGCTGAGGACAGGGCCCCTCTGCACCTGCTCCTGTCTCCAGGCCGCCTTCCCAGCCAGCACAGAGGATGCCTGGGTCATCCGCATGGCACCGTCAGGTCCCTTCCCTCTCCAGAGCCTGGCTGAGGGGGCAGCCGTCCACCCTGGCGGCCCACACATGGGGAGCCCTTGTCTGCTCCATGCAGGGTGGAGGGGGGCAGCCCAGGCACGGAATGAACCGGCCAGGCCCTGCAGGCAGCCTCTGCGGGGAACTGTGGAGCCAGGGCCATTGCACTGGGCACTCCCCTGGGGCCCGGCCCCTTCCTCAAGCCTCCCTGCTCCCCCACAAGCCCCTGCCTCCACACTCAGGCCCCGTCTCCGAGCGAAGCTGAGAAGTGCCTGCTGAGCAAGGAGCTGTCCAGGGCCACACGGGAGCTGGAGCAGGTGCGGCAGGAGGCCCAGAGCCGGCAGGAGCAAGCCGAGGTGAGTACCGGTGCCCGCCGGGCAGGAGCACAGCCCGACCGTGCTGGCGGCCCTCCAAGGGACCGCTCTGCCTAGCCCCCGCCAGCACCCCTGCCTGAGCCACAGTCCCCCCAGGCGTCCCCAGGGGATGCTGCCTTCAATGGGACCCCACCTGCTGGTCCCTTCTGCCCTCACCTGGAGCCACTCACCTGTGGCAGGTGTGTGCAAGGGAGTGGGGCCCCTCGCAGCTCCACTGCCACAAGCCTCGCCTGCCTGTGACTTGAGCCCCACTACGGAAGGAGCCACAGCGGCCGGAGTGGTGCCAGGGCCGGTCCTCGGCCAGAGAGGTCATGAGGTGGCCACAAGGGCCCCCGTTGCCAGCTGTCCACACAGACAGCTGCAGGCAGCTGGCGGGGCCACCTGGGACCCCAACTCCTTGTCTGGGGCCTGCGTGCAGGAGCTGAGCAGCCTGGGCCTTCCGGGACCCAGAAGCCTCACGTACCAAGAGATGCAGGGCCTGGGTGTGGGGGCTCCAGGGTGTGGAGGCCGTGGGGGCCTGGGCTTGGGGGCTCCAGCACTACGCACGGGGAAGAAGCAGCCAGGGACCAGCGTAGAGGGAAGCGGCCATTGGCCCTGGGGCACTGATGGGAGCTGACACTGAGCAGACATGGGGTGGGGTGCACCAGGCTGATTGGGAGCAGCCCCCAGGCATTGGGGGCCACAGCTCCCCCCGACCCTGTGTGTATTCAGGCAGGGTCAGGGTGAAGCTGGGCCCCACCCCGGCTCCGGCCACACCTCTCTGGCCACGCATGCCCGACCTGGGCCCCCCTGCCTTGCCCTCAGGAGCTCGCTGGCCCATGCTTAGCTCGGGGACACCTCCACCCTGGCCCGGCAGGATGCGTGGGGAGGGGGCCAGTGGCCGGAACCACCCGGGGGCCGGGGGCGGGCGCTGCGTTGCCCCAGGAGTCTTGCCCAAGAGCTAGCTGTTCCCACCCCTGCAGCCCCCAGCTGTGCACACGCCTCCCCAGGGGGCCAGGACCCAGCTCAGCAGGGAGTGCTGACCCAGCCCCTCCTCCCTGCCCATCCCTGGCCCGCCTGCCGCCTGGGCCTTGGGGACCCTGGGAGCCGACACGGCACACTAAGGGGTCTCAGAGCCAGCGCTGGCCGCCCACCGGCCTCCTCGGGGTGCTCCTTGGAGGGTGCCTGTGCCACCTCAGCTCTGACCACGGAAATTAAAACCCGCTGAGGGGAGGGCATTGTCGTCCATGCCACAGCAAGCCTGGGTCCCCTCCGCCTCTGGGGGCCGGGGGCTCCACACAGCCGCAGGCAGAGGACCCCGCCCCCTGCGGTGCCAGGAATAGCGCACTCAGGGGAAGCGCCAGGCGGTGTGGTCACAGCACTGCAGGGTGGCCGAGGCGTGGCCCAGGCAGTGGATGGCCCCGAGGCCCACCAGCCTGTCTGACAGTTCCAGAGACCAGGGGGATAGGGGGCTTGGCCGCCCAGCAGGGCCCAACGGTCTTCACCCCACGCTGGTGGTGGGCGCCACCCTGTGCTCACCATGGCAGGACCTTTGGCCTCCCAAGGTGCCTCTCCTGTGCCTGGCAAGCCAGCTGGGGGCTCCTGAGGGCCAGGTCAAGGCCTCTCCTCACGAACCAAGAGGCCAGGCTGCTCCCTGACCACCAGCAGAGATGGCAGGCAGGAGAGGGTGGGTGTCTAAGTCCACGACCGGACCCTGTCTGGGGTCCTAGGGCTCAGAGCCCCCAGCCCCGCCCTCACCCTCCACCCCCCCATCCCCGGCACGGGTGACATGGCTGGAGCTGACCAGGCCTCAGGCTGGGCCCCAGGACCGCGTGGGGCCGTGCAGGTCACCCCGGGCTCACTGCTTCCCAGGCCGCTGCCAGCCGCGCGATGCGGGAGCTGAGGGCCCTGCAGGCCCAGCTGGAGGACGCCGTCTCTGCCCGCCACAGGGAGGCCGCGGAGCGAAGCGATCTGGGCAGAGAGGTGAGAGTGGAACCAGGGCCGGGGACAGCTGCGTCCCCCACACCAGCTGTCCCCTGACAGGAACACCCACCGGCCCGGCCCCCACCTCGGCAGCACCAAAGCTGAGGCTTTGAGTCGGGGAAGGAGGTGTGGTGTCTGAACCCGCAGCCATGAACTTGGCCATGGGCTGCGTGTGGGCCCCTGGCCGGGGCTCCCCAGGGTCCAGCACAGCTGCCTGCCCAGTGGCCAGGTCAAGGGCAGGCTGCGTCGGTGGAGACAGCACACAGAGTACTGGCCTGAGCCGCCCGGCCAGGACGCCCGGGTCCACCCAGGGCAGCCCCCTTGGGCTCTGAGAGGCCTCCCCACCCCAGCAGTACCCCCAGGCCTTCCTGAGAGGGGGTGTGTCCCTGGCCGGGCGGGGAGGCTGCCACTCAGCTGGGGGAGCATCCACGCGGCACAGAAGCATGGCTGCCTCCTGCCAGGGCGCCTGGGCAGAGGAGCGGGGTGGGGGGCGCAGCGGGGTCTTCACAGCAGCACGGGCGGGGCACGGAAGCCCTGGGAGCCTCCTGACCAGGGGCGGGGGGCAGCCTCAGGCCGGGCCAGGCTGCGCTTGGCTCTGAGGGGTTTCCGAGAGACCTTTCAGGGCCTGGGATGCCTGTGTGGTGTGGGCTCCAGGAAGCGGGCAGCGGGGCCCAGGTGGGGCCCACGGGGACAAGCGGCCCCGCGGCTCCCGGGCTGTGTGCCAAGGCCGGCAGCTGGCCTGGCGCTGGAGCGAGCGGCCGGCGTGCACCAGGCCGGAGCGGGGAGAGGGGCTCGCCCCCCCCAAGCACCCCCAGGGGCCAGCCCGGAGCGCAAGAGCGGAAGGGCGCGTGATTTAGCGTGTGGCTGTTTACGTTGGCCGCGGAGAGAAAGGCCTCCTTTCAACAGCTCAAAGCCAGGCCCGGGCGACACTGGAGGGGGGGAGCAGGGGAGGAGCCGGGGGCTCAAAGGAAGAAAGCCCAGGTCCCCCCGGGCAGTGCGGCTGCTCAGAGAGGCGGCCCCCAGAAGGGAGAGAGGGGCCCCCAGAGGCTGCGGAGAGGGGCGGGGCAGGATGGACCCTCCCAGAGAAGCCAGCGGCAGCACCCTCCCCGGCGCCAGGCGGCCGGCATCGCCATGGAAACCATGGCATTTCACAGCCTTTAAACTGCAGGAGCGTGCAGATCCTCGCAGCCCTGCCTGAGGTCCACACACGCGTGCACACGCACCCATGCACACATGTGGGGCACTGTCCACACACAGCCCGTGCACTAGAGACCAGAGTGGTAAGCCCACCCAGGTGCACACACACTCGTGTTTAAACACCATGGACACTGGCACTACACGCATGTCATTCACACGCATGCCTGGTGCATGCCACACACGTGCGAGCACGACTATGCATACCAGGCGCACGTGCGAGTGTGCTGAAGATGCTTACCACTCGCAGGCACACTGTGCACACACACGCATGCCTGGTGCATGCCACACACGTGCACACGCATGTGTGAGCAGAGGCACGCACACCCAGGCCAGGCCCTGCACAGCCCCTCCCTGCTCTCCCTGGGCTGCCGCCTCCCGGCAGGAGATTTCAAAAGAGGCTGTTTATACAACTTCTAGTAAAGAAATAATTATTATAATCACATTAAGCAATTTGGCTGTAAAATTCCTGTAAGAGGCAGGGCTGTCCTCATGGGGCAGGGGCCTCCCTGTGCCCGCACTCCCCTCCCAGCCCGGGAGAGAACACAGCTCCCACCCCACCCCCCGTGCCCGCACCCCCACCCCCTTCCGTGATGGATGGGCCCTTTCCCTGGCCTTGACCTTCCGGGCGGGTTTCTGCTGAGCTCAGCGGAAAATGCTCTGCACGCCGTGGCTCCCATATGTGGGGGGTGGGAGGGGAGCCGAGGGGAGGCTCAGGCCCTTCCCAAAAACAGAACAACAATAACAGCGGGCAGACCCGGGAGCCAGGCCGGCCGGGGCCCTGGACAGCGTCCCGGGAACACAGCCAGCTCGGAGGGGTTTGCTTTGGCCAGCCAGAGGCCTGACGTGGCTGCGTCCCCGCGGCTTCCCTGCTGCTGCCTCGCCTCCTCCCCCGGGACCCGGCGGGGCCAGCACTCTGCTGGGGAGGCAGGAGAGCGGGGCCCGGGTCGAGTCCCTGCCAGCACCCCCACCAGTGGGCTCCCTGGAAGTGCCGGCATTGGGCGCCCATGCTGGGGGCGGGGCCAGGGGCAGGGGGCAGGCCACTGCGGCCAGCCTGAGGGGAGCAGGACTCACATATGGCCTCCTGCTGTCCTGCGGTCAGCTCACAGAGCACCCCACCCCGGGTCCCTGTCCCCACTGCCCCCAGCCCTCCTGTCCAGCAGCTGCAGGAGCACCCCCCCGTCACCCCACTACCTCCCTGAGCCCCCCTGTGGTGCTGACTGCTGTCCCCAGCAGCACAGGCAGCGGCCAGGGGCACTGGGGGCAGCAACGGGGCATGGGTGGACACGACACAGACAGGCGAGCAAGGCCATAGCCGAGTCTGGGGGCAGGCAGGGCAGGGCCAGGCTCAGGGCGGCTGCCTGGACTCTGGGCCCAGCCCTCTGCCCCCAGGCCCCGTGAACCATGTGTGGGCTCGGCAGCAGGGGGCAGAGACCAGCACCATGGGAACACGCGAAGCCTCTGTCCTGGTGTGCCCACCAGAGCGCAGGGAGGCCAGGCATGGCCTGCACTGTCCCCGGGGTGCAGCCCTGTGGCCCCGGCCCCGACACTGCCCACTCCTCCCTCCGGCAGGCCGAGGGGCTGCGGGCGCGGCTGAGTGCGGGCCAGGAAGCGCTGGCCAAGCTGCGCCAGGAGCTGCGGAGCCGGGAGCAGAGCTGTGAGGAGCTGCGCCGGGCGCTGGACGCCGGGGCCTGCGAGCGGGACGTGTTGCAGGTCTCCAACACCGAGCTGCGGGCCGCCCTCCGCAGGGCCGTGCGGGAAGGGGCCAGGTGCGGCCACCTCGGGCGAGGGGCAGCAGCCCGTGGCCTGGCTGCCCGCCTGGACTAGGCCGGCAGGCCTGGGTGTCCCACTGGGTTGGGCCAGACGGAGGGCAAGGCTGACCCCAAGCAGACCTCTGGCCGCCCGGTGAGAGGTCCGTGAGGGTCAGCCTGGGCAGGGGAGGGCTGGGACGCAGACAGACCGGGCCTGCGCTCCTGTTCCTGTCCAGCAGGAAGCCAGGCCACACAGGCCGTGCAGGAGGGCTGGGAGTGGGCGGGACGGGCAGGAGAGAGGCCAGAGAGGTGGCCGCAGAGTGGCTGCCTGGCCCGGGAGGTGACAGGGAGCCCGCAGGGGCTGGGCTGGGGGACAGTGTGTGGGGCCTGGGCTGCGACTAGTGTCTTAGGAGGGGCGGGGCAGAGGCCATGGGGGGGCTGGCCCTGGCCGCCGCCCCAGCCTGGGCTCCCCTCAGCTTTAAGCGGTGCAAGGAGGAGAAGGCGCAGAAGCTGCTGGTCCTGCAGGAGGCCGTGGCGGCGGCTCGGCAGGAGGCGGCCGTGCTGTGGGCCCGGCTGCGGCAGCAGGAGGGGGCTCAGGCGGACGCCCGGCGGGAGCGCCAGGAGCACCGCGCACAGGTGAGGGCCCGCGGCCTGCAGAGACGGCCCCAGCTGCAGGGACCCATCCCCTGTGCCCCCAGGGCCATGCCACGCGCAGACCCAGGCCGGGCCAGGCAGGTTCCGGAAAGAACGTGGGAGCGGCAGATGCCAGCGCTCACAGTGGGGCAAAGCCCGGGCTCCACACCTCAGCGGGCCGCAGCCAGGGCTCGGGCCTCCGCCGGCACCACGCAGGCGGCTTGGGCTGGGTCCTGGGCTGCCCCCAAGGCAGGGGCAGACGCTGCCTGCCAGCTCGCTGGCCGAGCAATGGGTCCAGGCTCACCATCCACCCAGAGCAAGACTTCCAGGGCCGGGGTTGAGCCCTTGCCTGGGCAGCCATGTCCAGGAAACTCCGGCCATCTTGGTGCCCCTCCGAACCCCCAGTGACCCCGCTGACTCCTGACACCACCAGTGACCAGCTAACTTCAGATGCCGCCAGCCCCTCGGCCGGTTAAGAGCAGGCCCCTACCGGGCAGCCCCTGCACACCAGCCCTACAGGGGCTCCCTCGCCTCCCGGCTCCACGAGGGCCATCCTGACGCCTCCCTTCCCAGGGGGCAGTGCTGGCTGTGTAGCCACAGTCGCCTGCCAGTGAGAGCCAGAAACTGGCTCAGGCCCCGCGGCTGAACACCAGGCCCCGCGGCAGAACACCAGGCCCAGCTCCACCCTGAGTGCCCTGCCCTGGGGAGGAGGTGCTGGTGAGGGACAGGGCAGCGGGGTCACGTGGGGTGACACAGGCCACAGCCAGGAGCACGCGGCCTGAGCCTCGCTCGGGGAGCAGAGGCAGGAGTTGGGGAGCCACCCGGCTCACTGTCTCATCACAGCGTCCCCACACACCAGGTGAGGACCCTGGAGGCCGAGAACCAGAGGAAGAGCCGGGAGGGGGCGCTGGCAGCACAGCCGGCGGGAGGTGCTAGAGCTGTGAGGGCAGGTGGTCGAGGCCGGGGCTGCCCGCGAGGGCACCTGCACTGAGGTAGGGGGCTGCCAGGCCAAGGGGCCACCGTGAGCCTGCCAGGGGCAGGCAGGGGCGGCCCAGGGTGCCGTCTGCTCACCGTCTCCACACATGCCTGTGGTCTGCAGCCAGGCTCAGGAACACTGAGGGGATAAATCCCAGGGGTCTCAGGTCGGGAGGGGCGGGGCTCCCACCAGGCAGAGAAGGGGTTCTGGAAGGGACGGCGCCTCCAAGAGTTCAGGAGCCCGGGTTCACGCCCGTCACCTGCACTACTTACAGCACTGAGGTCCCCACTCCAGCCCGGCCCAGCCCATAGGGTCTGGGTGCTGACAGGGTGCACTGCATGCAGCTGGGGGTGCCTGGGACCCAGAACACTTGAAAGAGCCCCCCGAGCCCCGGCAGCCCCAGCCTGCCCGGCCCCTGGCTCGGATTCAACGTGGAGCGCCCCCATGCCCACAGGGCTCGTCTCCTGCCATCTGTGGGAGCAGCCCCCCGGGGCAGGAGAGGGGCAGCCACGCCCTGCACCCCACACTCCTGGGTCCTGGAGGGCGGTCACATGGGTGGAGCCTCCAGGTGCACAGGCTGAGGGCAGTCAGGTCATGCAGGAGCCACTGCCCAGGTCCCCTCTTGCCATGAGAGGTACGGCCTCCTCAGGGCCCGGCTGCTTCTTGGCCGTCCAGCTGAGACCCCTGCACCCCCCTGCTTCAGGTCCTGGGGCTGCAGCGCCGCCTGGCAGAGGTGGAGGTGGCTGGGGAGGCCCGGGCACGGCAGCTGGAGGAGCGGCTGCAGCAGAGCCAGCGGGCAGAGCGGGGCCTGAGGGCCGAGCTCCAGGGTGCCACCCGCAGGCTGCAGCTGGCCCGCAGCGCGGCCGAGGGCCTCCGGGCTCGCCTGGACGGAGCCTGCCACAGGGTCCACGGCCCGGAGCAGGAGCTGGCCCAGGCCGAGGCTGCCCGGCAGGCCGCGGAGGCCCTGCTGACTCGGCTGTGCCCCACGCTCCGTGGCAGCCTGGGGCCGCGGGGACGGAGCCCGGCCGCCTCCCCCGCGAGAGGTCAGTGTCCCCACCACAGCCTCCCTGCAGGATCCACGTGGCGTGGGGGCTGCACCAGGGCCCAGGGCGGGGGGCAGGGGCAGCAAGGGAATGGGAAGGGCACCCTACGGCCCCACCCAGTCCCCACGACCCCCTCCAGATGCCAGCAGCCTGCAGGCTGGCCCCAGGTGGCCTGAACTGCAGCCTGGAGACGGCGGCCCCTGGGTCGCAGACCTGAGCTGCGTGGAGGACGCCCTGGGGGACTTCGTGCAGAAGCTGGTGGACGCCTGGCGGGAGCGGGTGAGGCCGGGATCCAGGCTGCCAGGAGGCAGGGAGGGAGGCGCCCACTCCGCGGGCTGCTGTCCGCCGGTCCGTCCACCCCGGGTCAGTGTCCAGACAGACTGTCCTTGCCCGTCGAGGTAAGCACCAGTAGCCCAACAGTGCCGCCCACGGCCAGGGGCTACCCACCTTGGCCGGACGAGAAGCCTTGGAGCAAGGCCCCAGCAGCCACTCCCCAGGGCCCCCATGGGCCGTCCCCTCCCTGCTCACCTGCTGGAGGTGGGCTTAGGGGCAGAGCCTGAGGGCAGGACAGGCGGGGCGTCCCTGAGCCCAGCCAGGGGTCCTCTGTGGATTCCTGTGCCTTCGGACCTGCCCCAGGGGGCAGTCCCTGCAAGTGACCCCGGCCCCCAGGCCCCCCACCAGCCCCTCACTCCACATCCTGGAGTCCTGAGGCCCCGCCCACACTCAGCCCAGCCTGCCCACAGCCCACCTGCATAGCCTGCAGTCAGACTGAGACCACTGCCCCGACCCTCCGGACTGCCCCTGACCCTCTGGGCTGTCCCTGCTGACCGCAGTCCTGTGCCCAGGATGACGCCCATGTCCAGCTGGCCAGCCTGACCGGCCGGCTGAAAGAAACACAGAGCCTCCTGGGGCAGCTGCAGCAGGCCCTGGCTGAGGCCGAAGAAGGTGAGCTGCCCGCCCCTGCCGCCTGCACCCCGGGGACCCCGCCAGCTCCCTCTGCCGCACGCCCCAGGGGCGTGGGCCTCAATCAGCTCCGGGACAGGCCTGGTGCTAGCTGTGAACGCGGCCTCTCCCCACGGGGGTCATGGAGACCACAGACCTCACGGCCCCTGCTGGGGCCCTGGCCTGGGCTGTGCCTCCAGAACCCCTCCCTGGAGAGCCACACGCCACCCTCCCCAGCACGCTGCCCATCTTCTCGGAGCCCCAGTCCCTCTCCCCACCCCAGCACAGGCTGGGGCCTGCTCCCCGCCCCCAGGAGAGGGCCGGCCCACAGGGCAGGAGAGCGACACTTGCAGGCAGACGGCGGGGGCTGCAGCCACCACTCCCGGCCTCCGTCTGCCACCTGTCACTTGGGGGGGCAGGTGTGGGGGCCTCACAGGCTCACCGGACCCCCGGGCTCCAGGCCGGCGGCAGGCGGAGGACGCGCTGAGCAGCGCCCGGGCGTCACAGCCCCAGCACGAGGCGCCCAGGCAGCGGGAGAGAGAGCACCCAGCAGGCACCAGGGCGGCAGAGGCCAGGAGAGGCGGCGGCTCCAGGTGGGCATGCGGTGGGGTGGGGAATGGGCCCAGGATGTGGGGGGCTCCACTCTGGCCACCCTCACATGGTGGGAGGGCCGGGCCCCGGGGCAGGAACGAGCAGGTGCACTGGGGACAGTGGCGTCCTCAGAGCTCTTCCAGGGACCCAAACCCTCATTTTGCAGGTTGGGTAAACTGAGCACTTTGGCGTGAGCAGAGCCAGGACCGGACCCTGGCTGCCCAGGCCTGGCTCCTCACCAGGAGCCCCGAGTCAGGCAGAAAGGGCCAGGGAGGGCTGGGTCACTCCAGGAAGCTCCTTGCAGGCCTCCCGGGCTGGAGATGAGCGTGGACAACGGGGGGTGGGGGGTGGACAGCCATGGCCCCGGACCCCACGCCGGAGCACGAAGCCAGTAGCCTGCAGAGGGCGACACGGCCGAGGAGCTGCTACCCCCCGCAGGCCTGTGGAAGACAGGGTGGGCACAGCCTGCTGGGCCCTGGGAGCCCCTGCCAGGCCTGACCTCAGTGGGCAACCAAGAAGCTGAGCCGTGGTCCCCGTCCCCTTCCCCACCCGGGCCTGAGGCCACCGGGGAGCAGCGGCAGGGGTGGAGGGCCCAGGCCTGGCTTAGAGGCGGCCCAGGGCGCAGGAGGAGGCACTGCTGCCTCAGGGGAGCCCTGGCCCAGGCGGCCCGGGGCTCTGGGGGCTGGGAGGGGGCTCTGGGGGCTGGGTACGCGACCACACGGGTGCCTTCCACACATGGCAGGGAACAGTGTGTTCTGTCTGCTGTTGTCGGGCTGGGCTGAGGTGTAGCCAGTAAAGCCGCTGCCTGCAGTGCCGGCTGCTCCACTTCCGATCCAGCTCCCTGCTGTGGCCTGGGAAAGCAGAAGATGGCCCAGGTCCTTGGGCCCCTGCACCCACGTGGGAGACCCAGAGGAAGCTCCTGGCTCCTGGCTTTGGATCAGCTCAGCTCTGGCCATTGCAGCCAACTGGGGAGTGAGCCATCGGATGGAAGACCTCTCTCTCTCCCTCTGTCTCTCCGTAATTCTGCCTTTCAAATAAATAAATAAATATTTAAAAAAAAAAAAAAGAGGCCGGCGCCGCGGCTCACTAGGCTATCCTCCGCCTAGCGGCGCCGGCACACCGGGTTCTAGTCCCGGTCGGGGCGCCGGATTCTGTCCCGGTTGCCCCTCTTCCAGGCCAGCCCTCTGCTGTGGCCAGGGAGTGCAGTGGAGGATGGCCCAGGTGCTTGGGCCCTGCACCCCATGGGAGACCAGGAAAAGCACCTGGCTCCTGGCTCCTGCCATCGGATCGGCGCGGTGCGCCGGCCGCAGCGCGCCGGCCGCGGCGGCCATTGGAGGGTGAACCAACGGCAAAAGGAAGACCTTTCTCTCTGTCTCTCTCTCTCACTGTCCACTCTGCCTGTCAAAAAAAAAAAAAAAAAAAAAGAAAAGAAAGAAAAGAAAAATACCTTTTAAATCAACCAGCACAAATGCATGATTCAAATTAGCCACACTAGACACCTCTGGAATTTACCACAATTGAATGATGTGTTGTTTTCCCACTCCAGTTCTCTATGTTTAAAGATTTGTTTATTTGAAAAGCAGAGTGATGGATGGAGAGGGAGAGGGGGAGAGGGAGAGGGAGAGAGGTCTTCCATCCGCTGTGTCACTCCCCAAGTGGCCGCAAAGGCCCCCGCTGGGCCAGGCTGCGGCCAGGAGGCAGGAGCCCCTCCCCGGCTCCCACGTGGGTGGCAGTGGCCGCACGGCCTGAGCCATTGCCTGCCTCTTAGTAGGAAGCTGGACTGGAAGCAGAGCGGCCAGGGCTCGAACCAGCACTTGGTGGCTCAGCCACTGCCCCACGATGCCAGCACCCACAACGTTTCATTCCCTCGGCATCGCCTTCGACCTCTGCTTTGACCGCTGGGTTCTGGGGCCTGGCTCTGGGGCTCGGGAGACGCCACCGACCTGGCTTCGCGTCAGTCCCACTTGGGAGCCATCTTTGCCTCTCCAGGGGGCTCTGCCGGGTTGCTATTGGCCCTGCTGCCTGCTGGCTCCCCGCTCCCTCGCTGTCTCAGGGTCCCCTCTGCCTCTGGCTTGCCGCCCTGTTCTCCCCATCGGGGGCCCCTGTTGGGCAGGACGTGTGACGCACACTCCTGATCTCGTTCTGATTTCCAGTGTGAATCCTGCCTCCCCTGGGCCGTGCACAGGGGCCTCCGCCGGCCACCCCAGAGCCCCCCTGCCGCCCGAGGGGACCTGTCCAGCTTCCGGCGATGCAGGTGATGGTTCGAGCACCGGGGCCCCTGCCGCCCACGCGGGAGACCCGGATGGATTCCCAGCTCCTGGCGCCTGCCAGGCCCAGCCCTGGCCACTGCAGGCCTCTGTGGAGTGACCCAAGCATGGAAATTCCCTCGCTCTGCTTCTGTCTCTCAAATAAACAAACAAAATGAAAGGCGGCTCCTTCTCCCTCTGCCCTCTTCCTGGTTCTGGGGTCCCAGTGTCCCCCACTGCCTCCCTGGGCCTGCCCCCGGCTCATCTCTTCAAGGCTGCGTCCACGTGGGTGCTGTGGGGCAGACAGTCCAGCCTCTGGCCCCGCGGCCCTCGCCATGGGACCTGGGGGTTCCCGTTCCTGCCATCGCTCCCCATGTGTCAGGCCCGAGAATCCAGCCCCAGCCGTCCTCCCGCACGGCAGTCACGTTGGTGCCCCCACAGGCCCCGCCACTGCCCCTACAGGGAGGCTCCCGGGACCTCAGCCCCAGCCCCAGCCCCCAGCCAGGGTCCCAGGACCCTCACCCACACTCCCAGCCCTGAATCAGGTTTCCGGGACCCCCACCCCCAGCCCCCAGCCAGGCTCCCGAGACCCCCAGCCCCAGCCCCCAGCCAGGCTCCCAGGACCCTCACCCCCACTCCCAGCCCTGAGCCAGGCTCCCGGGACCTCCAGCCCCAGCCCCAGCCCCAAGCCAGGCTCCCGGGACAGTGGGGTGGCCACAGCTGGGTGCAGAGGGTGTCCTGTCCTGGTTCGCTTCTCTGCCTGACCTGGGATTCACTCAAGGGTCTTGGTGAATGACTACATGGCCGCCCCCCGCCCCTCCGACAGGGGGGGCCCTTGCCCTGGGGAGCCCCCAAGCCGCAGGCCTTCAGCTTGGAGGTAACTGCCCCCACCGAGCATGCTGGTGGTCCCTGTGCCGGGTCCCCAGGAAGGGGGCAGGGACACAGCCCGGGACGGAGCCGCGGGCCCCAGGGTCTCCAGGCTCCTGGGGGGAGGGGCCTCGCTCCTCGCCGCCCAGTGCCCGCTCACAGCTGCCAGGTCACTTGCGGGGCCCAGCGGGGCGCGCCTGGCGCCGTGCCGGCTGTGCCAGACCCAGCCCTGCCTGGGAGTGAACTTCCCCCACGCTGCTCCCCCTGCCTCACGCCAGCCGATGTGTTTGCCGAGAGAAAGTTAATTAAAAACAGATTTTTCTAATTAAACGGCGGCCGAGCTGTGCAAACAGTCAGATGCTTGTTAGAGCAGAGCTCTCCAGCTGCCAGGGCTACCCGGGGGGCCCCAGGGGGTCACGAGCGGGGGAGGCTGGCCCCCGGCCCAGCCCCAGCCACACGCACCTCCTCACCTCCCACGTCACCCCCGGGGGGCTCCGGGTCACGGTCCCCAGGGCCCAGAGAGGGGCCAGGCATCCTTGGCCCCCTGCCCGGGCAGCTCCTCCCTGTGCCCAGTGCCCTCCCCCAGGGCCAGGCCCCCTCCAGCCCAGGTTCTGCAAGCCGGGCCCCGGGCACCAGGCCAGGCTGAGGGGTCACTCACGATGGTCACAGAACGTTCACAGCCCCAGCCAGGGCCCCACCGCCTAATGCAGTGTGCAGCGTGCAGCGTGGCACCAGCTGCTGAACTCCCACTGCTGCCACAGGCACAACACCCTGCCCCTCCTGTGTGCAACAACCCCCCTACTTCCCTCCTGTGTGTAACACCCCTCCTGTGTGTAACACCTTCCTGTACCCTCCTGTGTGTAACACCCTCCTGTACCCTCCTGTGTGTAACACCCTCCTGTACCCTCCTGTGTGTAACACCCTCCTGTACCCTCCTGTGTGTAACACCCTCCTGCCCCCTCCTGTGTGTAACACCCTCCTGTACCCTCCTGTGTGTAACACCTTCCTGTACCCTCCTGTGTGTAACACCCTCCTGTACCCTCCTGTGTGTAACACCCTCCTGTACCCTCCTGTGTGTAACACCCTCCTGTACCCTCCTGTGTGTAACACCCTCCTGTACCCTCCTGTGTGTAACACCCTCCTGTACCCTCCTGTGTGTAACACCCTCCTGTGTGTAACACCCTCCTGTACCCTCCTGTGTGTAACACCCTCCTGCCCCCTCCTGTGTGTAACACCCTCCTGTACCCTCCTGTGTGTAACACCCTCCTGTACCCTCCTGTGTGTAACACCCTCCTGTGTGTAACCCCCTCCTGTGTGTAACACCCTCCTGTACCCTCCTGTGTGTAACACCCCTCCTGTACCCTCCTGTGTGTAACCCCCTCCTGTACCCTCCTGTGTGTAACACCCTCCTGTGTGTAACACCCTCCTGTACCCTCCTGTGTGTAACCCCCTCCTGTGTGTAACACCCTCCTGCCCCCTCCTGTGTGTAACACCCTCCTGTACCCTCGTGTGTGTAACACCCTCCTGTACCCTCCTGTGTGTAACACCCTCCTGTACCCTCCTGTGTGTAACACCCTCCTGTGTGTAACCCCCTCCTGTGTGTAACACCCTCCTGTACCCTCCTGTGTGTAACACCCCTCCTGTACCCTCCTGTGTGTAACACCCTCCTGTACCCTCGTGTGTGTAACACCCTCCTGTACCCTCCTGTGTGTAACACCCCCTCCTGTGTGTAACACCCTCCTGTACCCTCCTGTGTGTAACACCCTCCTGTACCCTCCTGTGTGTAACACCCTCCTGTACCCTCCTGTGTGTAACACCCTCCTGTACCCTCCTGTGTGTAACCCCCTCCTGTGTGTAACACCCTCCTGTACCCTCCTGTGTGGTAACACCCTCCTGTACCCTCCTGTGTGTAACACCCTCCTGTACCTCCTGTGTGTAACACCCTCCTGTACCCTCCTGTGTGTAACACCCTCCTGTGTGTAACACCCTCCTGTACCCTCGTGTGTGTAACACCCTCCTGTACCCTCCTGTGTGTAACACCCTCCTGTACCCTCCTGTGTGTAACCCCCTCCTGTGTGTAACACCCTCCTGTACCCTCCTGTGTGTAACACCCTCCTGTACCCTCCTGTGTGTAACACCCTCCTGTACCCTCCTGTGTGTAACACCCTCCTGTACCCTCCTGTGTGTAACCCCCTCCTGTGTGTAACACCCTCCTGTACCCTCCTGTGTGTAACACCCTCCTGTACCCTCCTGTGTGTAACACCCTCCTGTACCCTCCTGTGTGTAACACCCTCCTGTACCCTCCTGTGTGTAACACCCTCCTGTACCCTCCTGTGTGTAACCCCCTCCTGTGTGTAACCCCCTCCTGTGTGTAACACCCTCCTGTACCCTCCTGTGTGTAACACCCCTCCTGTACCCTCCTGTGTGTAACACCCTCCTGTACCCTCGTGTGTGTAACACCCTCCTGTACCCTCCTGTGTGTAACACCCTCCTGTACCCTCCTGTGTGTAACACCCCCTCCTGTGTGTAACACCCTCCTGTACCCTCCTGTGTGTAACACCCTCCTGTGTGTAACCCCCTCCTGTGTGTAACCCCCTCCTGTACCCTCCTGTGTGTAACCCCCTCCTGTACCCTCCTGTGTGTAACACCCCTCCTGTACCCTCCTGTGTGTAACACCCTCCTGTACCCTCGTGTGTGTAACACCCTCCTGTACCCTCCTGTGTGTAACACCCTCCTGTACCCTCCTGTGTGTAACACCCTCCTGTGTGTAACCCCCTCCTGTGTGTAACACCCTCCTGTACCCTCCTGTGTGTAACACCCCTCCTGTACCCTCCTGTGTGTAACACCCTCCTGTACCCTCGTGTGTGTAACACCCTCCTGTACCCTCCTGTGTGTAACACCCTCCTGTACCCTCCTGTGTGTAACACCCCCTCCTGTGTGTAACACCCTCCTGTACCCTCCTGTGTGTAACACCCCTCCTGTACCCTCCTGTGTGTAACACCCTCCTGTACCCTCCTGTGTGTAACACCCTCCTGTACCCTCCTGTGTGTAACACCCTCCTGTACCCTCGTGTGTGTAACACCCTCCTGTGTGTAACACCCTCCTGTACCCTCCTGTGTGTAACACCCTCCTGTACCCTCCTGTGTGTAACACCCTCCTGCCCCCTCCTGCCCCCTCCGGTGTGTAACCCCCCCAGCTCCCTGCACGCTGTCTCCCCTCCCTCCCTGGTATCTTGTGTCCGTCTCTCGTGGGCGGGTTCTGTCGTGATTGAGTGACTGACCCGTCCCCGAGGATCCACAGTAGCTCACGGGCTTCTGTCTCGCGCTCCTCACTGGCTGTTTTGTTGGCGTCAAATTTACGTCTGCTTCACACCCGCCAGGACATCTTTTTCTAAAGATAGATTTATTTATTTGTTTGTTTGTTTGTTTGTGTTTGAGACGCTAAGTTTCCGAGAGAGGGTGAGGAAGAAATATATATATATATATAAAGAGAGAGGTCTTCCATCCGCTGGTTCACTCCCACAGGTCACAACAGCTGTGCCGGTCTGAAGCCAGGAGCCAGGAGCTTCTTCCAGGTCTCCCACACGGGTACAGAGGCCCAAGGACCTGGGCCGTCTTCCACTGCCTTCCCAGGCCACAGCAGGAGCTGGATCAGAAGTGGAGCAGCCGGGACTGGAACCAGGCACCTACACCTCCCTCCCACCTGGCGCCCACGGCTCCCGGCTCCCGGCTCCTGGCTGGGGTCCCATGTCCTCGCGGTCACTGCTCTTCTCAGAGGATCACCGTTCACTCCCGTCTCATCCTCCTCGGGTGGCTGCTGGCTCCACCGACGGCCTCTCCCGGGACGTGGGTGTCGATCCCCCGGCTTCTGGGGGAGGAGGCTGGGCCTTCGTGGCCGGAGTCGAGCTGCGGGAGCCCCAGCTGCGGTCTGCAGCCCCAGCCCTGCGAGCTCTTGTCCTCCTCACCAGCGTTCTAGGAGCTTCTGCCTCTGGAGCCCTCATTCACGCGTTGCCCTGGAGATGGCCACACGCTGGCACCTGCTGGTGCCCACGTCCACTCTCCCTGCCAGGCCACGGTCTCTTCAGCTCCTGGGCAGGTCCTGGCTTATGTCCCTGGGGCGCCCATGCCTGGAGGCAGGCTGGGTTGTGGTGTCCATTTGTGGTGTGTGTAGGGGGGCCCCGGGCACGCCGACTACAGCCGACAGGGAGGGCTACCCGGGACAGGGCAGGGTCCAGAGTGGCCCAGTCCCAGGCCCTCTGCTCCCATCTGGGCCAGGGAACCCCTGTGGACAATGGGGCCCTGACCTTGATGGC